GGAGCTGAATCCTTCCCTCTATCGATCACGTTAATAGTGACTTCAGGATATTCTGTTTTAGAAATCTTCTTCTTATGATGATGTTATCGCTTGGCAGGCCTGGCGATGTTTGTCAACCTTTCAAATACTGATTGTCTAGGCGCGGATGCGTATCAGTGGCATTCCGAGAGGACTATAGAAATAAGCTGCTCACATTGACATGAATGAGTTGTTTGTTGCGCAGGTCTCTCTCTCGACAGTAATTCTCACAAATCAGAGACTTGGAAGGAATCTTTCAGTGAGCATGAGGACGGAGATGGAACCCTCTGTCTTTAAGTGGGTAAGACTGGTTCTTATCGGACATAAATTTTAAGCTCATGTTGACTCTCTTAAACTTGGCGTACCACGTCGTGTTCTAGAGAAGAAACACGGGGGGGTCGTGTTTAGATTTGTAAACACTAGGCTGAGGCCTACGTTTGGTTGGTGGAACAGACCCTTGAGGGTTGTGTTATGGTTAGACGCACCTATGGGATGTGCATTTGGTTGGTAAAACAGACCCCTGACGGTCATGTTTTGGTTGAACGCACCCTTGAGGGTTGCGTTTGGCTTTAGAAATGCTTTTCTAAGGACCGTGTTTTGGGTGAACAACACACCACTGAGGGTCACGTTTATGTTGTATCACGCGAAGCTTGTAGTTGGACTCATTGCCATGAAGTGCGCGTTTTGGAGCAGAGACGCAGCGCTCAGGCAGAGACTTGAAAACACGACCTTCGTGTTGGTTCAGATTTCAGCTATATTGTAGATACGCTCATCGTATGGATCTTTTCCTTCTTCGAGCTGCATTCTTCTTGGCTTGTTTCAACATCATTGCAGCAACATCATCGTCGTTGACTGGATCTACCTCCGTCATATGCCTTTTACGACCCATGACACGTCGTGTTGATGCAGGTGGATAATTTTCAACTCGTTGAACGAGTTTGGCCGAGGTGGAGCCCATTCCTTCAGAGGTGGGATTCTTTGATGAATCTTGACCAAAAGAGAGGATTTTCTTTGCCATTTCAGCAACCATTGGAGCTTTGATCTCTTTAGAGATTGTAGACATTGCGTCTAGCCTTAGGGCTAAACGATCTAGAGGAGAGGGCTTCCTCATACTTGGCTTGATCAAACTCTACAACGAGAGTTTCGAAACAGACCCCTGACGGTCATGTTTTGGTTGAACGCACCCTTGAGGGTTGCGTTTGGCTTTAGAAATGCTTTTCTAAGGACCGTGTTTTGGGTGAACAACACACCACTGAGGGTCACGTTTATGTTGTATCACGCGAAGCTTGTAGTTGGACTCATTGCCATGAAGTGCGCGTTTTGGAGCAGAGACGCAGCGCTCAGGCAGAGACTTGAAAACACGACCTTCGTGTTGGTTCAGATTTCAGCTATATTGTAGATACGCTCATCGTATGGATCTTTTCCTTCTTCGAGCTGCATTCTTCTTGGCTTGTTTCAACATCATTGCAGCAACATCATCGTCGTTGACTGGATCTACCTCCGTCATATGCCTTTTACGACCCATGACACGTCGTGTTGATGCAGGTGGATAATTTTCAACTCGTTGAACGAGTTTGGCCGAGGTGGAGCCCATTCCTTCAGAGGTGGGATTCTTTGATGAATCTTGACCAAAAGAGAGGATTTTCTTTGCCATTTCAGCAACCATTGGAGCTTTGATCTCTTTAGAGATTGTAGACATTGCGTCTAGCCTTAGGGCTAAACGATCTAGAGGAGAGGGCTTCCTCATACTTGGCTTGATCAAACTCTACAACGAGAGTTTCGACGGTTATTCTAGTAAGATGAACATCGGATTACATCACCACTTCTTCGTCCGAGAAGCTCGTCCCCAGCGGAGTCGCCATCTTTTCTTTGGTGGAAAATTTGTGAAATGAAAATGAAAGAATTGTGTTTGATTTTATTCTCTCTAACTTCTTAGAAAAAAATGTTTATAACTCTCTCAATCTCAATTATAATTTGGATTTCCTGATTACAAAAAAGAAGAGAATTGATCTGAATTCTCTCATTTGTTTATTTCTAGGTTCTTCACGGTAGCGATGGAGTGCCTCCCTCGAATGCTCGCGTCGAGTTTGATCTCCATTGATGATCCGCACGTCTCAATTCACTGGTACAATTAACTTGTGTGGCAAGTTTGATTAAGAACTCTTAATGAGTTTTAGAACCCAGAACGAGTTCAAACTCTGTCAAACAAAGTTGTTTGAACCGAAAATTCGGTTAATAGCCAAGTAGATTTGTTTGTTGCTGAAGTATGCTCTAAGATTTTATCTTCTTGTTGCAAAAGATCTGATCTTTTAAGGATGATTGCCCCTAGATCTCTCAAAAATCCTTGAAGAACCAGCCAATCCGAACTCCAAAAATCCAACCCCTTTACTTTGTTGAGTTTGTTGAGGTTTTATAGGAGGATTAAGGGTGTATCTGACCCCTTAATCTGCTCCTAAGTGGGCGTGATTCCCTCAGATCGTGGAAAAACGGTTCTAAAACCATTTGGCTCATGTTTGAATGAGTCAAACGCCCAAATCGGCATTAGGGACCCTAACTTTGCGTCTTAGATTGGAGATGCAAAGTTGGGAATCTGCTGGATGTGGAAAACGCAAGGGCCGCTTACGTTTCATTTGCTGAGGGTTGGAAACGGAGGGGTCGCTTGCGTTTCAAGAACTAAAATGCAAAGGTGAGTTCTGCGTTTAGATTGAGATAGTGACTTGTAACCTCTTCTTTAAAGTGTTGTAAAGACCATTGTTCAGTAATCTTTACTTTAGCTGTTTTGAGGTGTGAAAGTCGTCAGATTCTAACTCTCAAAGTTGATGGTAAAGGCCATTGAATAGAGTTTTTATCAGTTGTCAGAAGAGTCGTTGAATTATAACTCCTCTCGATCTATGTGAAAAGTCTTCCATTTGCAGCTTTCATTAAAGTCGTTTGATTGTAACTTTCGTTATCGAAAATATTGATTGAGGTTTGATAGAGACCAGCTATCTGTTATGATTTTTAGACAGCCTACAGCATCCTAACAATCTGATCAACACTCTCCATCTACTGAGAGTCAAAAGTGACATATCTGCTCAGAACAAAATCAGAGTCTCCCAACTGATAACCAAACGAGCCTCTGAATCCCAAATGTGCTATCGGATCAAATATCACATCCTTGATGTGACCAAATACTGGGTAACTAAACATCCAACGTAACTCAAAATATGAAGCAGCTCCACCAGATCCAAAATCTCCAAACACAACAGTTAGCAACCTATGACTAAAATGACATAAATATGTCGAAGCTCCAAAACTCCTCTACAATCAAATGCTCGACAACCAACTCCTATCCTCCTCCAGCAAAGAACGACCTATCAAAAATATCATCTCATCTCGTTGCCCCAATGTTTCCTCTCCAATGAAGTGTCTCAAACTGCTGTGAGCTCGGTACAAATGTAAGAAAGAACCCCTACAAAAAACAGAACGAAGGGTTACCTTTTTGTCAATACACTCCCTTCATCTATTGTTGACTTCTAGGACTTCACACCACGGGACTTGGTTGCAACTGACCAATACCTAGAACAATCCTAACTGTCGAAACCAAATACCGATTACCTCCCAATGATGCCTCCTTGGAAGGCCTCCAAATGTCTGAATGAACACCACCTAAAAGACCCCTCGATCGATGGATAGAAGTACCAAACTCCACCTCGGTCTCCTTGCTCATACCAATGTGCTCAAAGGACTTCAATATGTAGGTCAAGACACTTTTCAATAATCCAATATCTCTGCCTCAACTCCTTCTTTCTCGGTCATCCATCTCAAAGCACTAACAAACCAATACGGAACAAATGAAGAATAGATCCAAACTGATAAAGGAGAGATTTTTACCTCTAATTGAAACCCTAACAAGAGCCTCCAAAAGATCTCACCCCGCACGACAGAAACGAGATCCACAAATAGGAAAAATCCCACTTTTATCACCAACTGAAGCCCAAGACGAACTTCCAAAACGATCTACTCCTCCAATTAGCCCAAGCGTAGCCCATACTCTGATACCACTTGTTGGGCTCTGATACCACTTGTTGTGTACGGTGGAAGCCAAAACCAAACCGTTGTACTTCGAGAGACCAAATCAAACAAACGCCGAGAGAAGGCCAAACAATGCAAAATAATGGCACAAACTCAAACAACAAATTTTAACATGGTTCGGCAAGTTGCCTACGTCCACAGGGCAAGAAGGTGATGGAGTTTTCACTAATAGAGAAGAAGAGTACAAACTGAGATTACAAAATCACACAAACTTACCAATTAATCTCACCAACAAAGTTTTAATTCTCTCCAAACAAAACCCTAACCAATAGCTCAGAAAATACATCTTTTCTGTACTCCAAATATCCCCTTCGCTGCTCCCAGAACCTAAAACGTGTTTCTATATATATAGAAATCATAAAACCAAAAGTATACTAGGAATTCTAAAACCAAAATCAAAACAGATTAGAAATCATAATAACTTGTTACCAAAACAGATTAGGAATCCTGTTACCAAAACAGATTAGGAATCCCAATAACCTGCTACCAAAATAAATTAGGAAACACATTAGGAACCTACTATCCAACACTTACATGTGATTAAGCCATCACATATTGGCAACTCAGGGGACGATCCATGCAGGCTCCTTTGTATTTGTGCATCTTGCTCGTTGCCATCCCTAGTCGATCTCAAAGCGTCCTGGTCATTGACGCCGTCATCTAGGTAGGTTCTGTTGCCCAGGTCCCGCCGCGTCCGAGCCACCTTGTCTTTACTACTCACAAAACAACTATGATACTCATATTGAAAATTTTATCTATATTGATTCTATCTATATTGAGCCACTGCAATTTTATGAGGATTCTCTTTATGTCTAATTTTTGATCAATGAGAAATGATTAAGAACTTCATATAATTGTAAATGTATGTTTATAATCTCTACGTTCCAAAACACATAAATGAAGCCAACAATTTCTTTTTTGTTTGTTTGCATGGATTTCATACTGTAAACTGTATAATTTACACAAAACTACAAAAACTTTACAATTTTTTTCCTGTATCCTTTTTCTACAGAGGATTCACTAAGCTGAGTAGGGTGACTCTGGCGTTAATCAAACACCTCAAGACTCTCTCACTTCTCCTCTCAACAGCACCGATACTCTCCTCAAATCCCTGCAACTCCTGCATGCTTCTCCCCTCGACCGATCTTTTCTTCATCACTGAAGAGGCAATGCCAGCAGTTGCCAAGAACACCGCCACCGACGTGGACACTGTGGCGTTGATCACCTCCCTAATTACCCCGACCATCTCAATCTCTTCGACACTAGCGGAGAATCTTGTAGCCGGTGGTTTGGAGAAATTTCGGAGGGAGGAAGCAATTTTGATGATGTTCTTCTCTGTTCTCTTCATGTTTTTGGTTGTCGAGGCCAGTTTGGCGTTGTCCTTCATTCTCAACGCAACCTGAGCATCGGATAGTTTGTCGTTCAAGGCTACCATCTCGGATCTGAAAGTATCATGGGCGTCTGCCAGTCGGAGGAAGTCATCGAGGATCCGACCCGTTAATTCGGATCCGTGACGGAGGGCATCTTGGGATTGAGGGAGGCGGAGGAGGTCGTAGAGGGAAGTGTGGAGGACCTCAAGACGAGCTAGGCCGTCGCAGATGGAGGCCGCATGAGTCGGTATTGGATGCGCTAGATCCAGCTTTGGTAACGGATCGGATCTCGTCGTCAAGGTTGGAAATGAGAGGGTGGGAGCGGCAGGGAGGCTGATGCGATCGACGTGGGAAGCGGGCCGGGTTTTAAGGCGGGGGAGACCCGGGAAAGGAGTTGAGCCGGTGGAAGCCGCGACGCATATGTGGCTGTGTGATGGAAAATGAGAGGATTATTCCTTCTCGATTTTTATTTTTTATTATTTTTTATTTCTTTTGATAGGAGCTTCTTCTTGATTTCGTAAGAGATGAAATTGTTTGGTTTGCGTTTGAAGATGGATGTAGAGATCCTTGGTTTATAAAGGAGAGAACGTTTGGTTTAAAAATTTATGGGCGCACGAGCGGGCTTTCCGTGTGGGGGGCGCCGGATCCGCGAATAAAGCTGTGTGTTGATGGGGGTAGTTAAGCAATAATGGATATTCATTAATAGATCCCTATATCTCTCATTATGGTTGGACGTGGGGACTAATTTTGTTAATCATAAGTTCATAACTGTATATTATTAATAACTAGTTACAATTTATGTTGAATAGAAGGTTTAAATAGGCATATGTAGTACAATACTTTCCGTAATGATTTAATTAGAGAAAATAAATACAAATATACAAGAAAAAACATGTCTAGAAAACAAAACGTAATAAAAGTATATTTTTGAATCATTTTTTTTAATATCTTTCTGTTGTGGTCGCGTTCTGTGGTGTAATTGAGTACTTTCAATAAAACGCGTTTGGCAACCGGGACGTTTTTTTTGACTTGACCCTTTACAAAATCCAAAAAATAAACACTTTTATCAAAACACTAAAAATGTGTTTTGAGATTCCGTTTTTTCATCTAAGCCGCCGCCGCCCGCCCGCCC